TTACTTACTTTAGTTAGTAAGTACTTCTTCTCGTCGTCTCTCTCTCTCTCTCTCTCTCTGTCTCTCTCTCTCTCTCTCTCTCTCTCTCTCTGTCTCTGTTTTCCTTGAATTCATCTTTGAAGGAATGTCTTTATAGGCAGTCATGTGGCCCCCTAGGACCTAGCTGGAAGCGCAATTCTTGTAATCTTGATGCAAGGCATGCATTGGGGGCCATGACTGAAATCTTGAACATGTTCGCTGGAATCTTGAGAATCTTTGGGTATCATCATTGCAGGAATCCTAGATTTTTTGGTTGCGTTAATCTCGAATGGGCTCACCAACATCTTGCATATGGTGGTTGAAATCATAGGTAAGGTCATCGGAATCTTGCTTATGGTTGCCAAAACATGTAGAGAGAGGGAGGAGGAGAGTCTTATTGGGGTAATGTGAGTGAGAATTGTGGAGATAGGATGAGAGATAGTAGGATTGTCTTGGTATGAAGAGAGAGAAAGGGATAAGGAAAGGGGATCAATGGTGGTGGGGATGTGTTCATATGGAGAAAGAGAGAGAACCAGGGAGAGAGGTCCAGTGGGTTTAAGGCTTTGGATATGGTCTTTGAGATCAGAAAAATGAACAAAGCTCTAGTTCAAACAGTAGTAGTATGGCCATGTGAAGTTTCCATTGAGTGAGAGGCCTTGACGAAGTCCCCATGGAGTCATAGCGAGCAAGAGAGAGTTATAGCGAGCAAGAGAGTTACAGAGAGCAACAAAGCGAGTTTTGTTTGGCTGTAAAAAATAGTAGTTTGTTTTATAGGCGAGATGTTATTTAGGACGGAAATTAAGTTCAATAGAGAGAAAGATGGTTTGGAATGGGAATTTGTAATGCAAATTCGAGGAAGTCCTTGCTACTAGGAAAGTACTCCATATTTTAATTTTCTACTAGGTGGCGCCTCAAGGCAATGCAGGGGCCTAGGCGCCTCATACAGGCCAAGACAAGCGTTCCTACATGGGTCAACTTGAGGTGTTTGCTTCACACCTAAGCTGAGGCACCTTCCTCAGGTTGCAAATGGCCCAAGGAAGGAACATGCCTTCGGTCATGAATTTTCGTTTTTCTCCCACACTGAGGCTGAGGAAAACTCTATGGAAAATCAAATCCAGAATATTTGGATTTGATTCTTAGGGAAATATCACTAGAGGTTATTAAAGGATATCTTGGGTGATTTAAAACTCGATATTCATTCAAAACATTGAGGATTGAAGATCGAGCAACAAAGGTGAGTCATTTTTTGTTAAAGTTCTTAGCATCTGAGATCTTTCACGATGTCTTTGTGGTTATCTTGCATGTGTGAAATGTGATTCAACTTTTAGCCAATCACTTGCAAACTTCTGATTTTAAGATAAGAAAAGAAGAAGATGACCTTTAAGTGTTTCATGCGAGGCCTCTTAACACTGGCTAGTGATAATTTTCTTGCCTGGTTCACACTAATATTTGTTGTCCTGTCTAGGAAGTTCCAATCCACAACCCAGTATATCTTATGCTGGGAACATCCTTTGGCTCAGCTGCAAAGGGCACTGGACTAAAGGCACTTGAATTTGCTCTCTCAGTCTGTGACTCC